CTTGCAGTTCTCAAAGATCTTCCAAACCCTCGATCCGAAGAGGAAGTTGACGGTAGATTTAATCCGTTGAAAATTGATGTTTTTGTGCAAACATTATTGAATTTGGGGTCTAAAAGTTTTTCTCATAGCTTTGCGGCTATTTCGAAATTTCACTATGTCTTCAAGGTATGTTTGCCAAACCAAAATTCGCTGAAGAAATAATAATTTTTGCGTAGATTTTAGCAGAATCCGAAGAAGCTCAAATATGCATTCTGAGAAATATGTTCGAGTTGTGGCACAACCACCAACAAATGATGGTGGTATTGGTTGACAAAATGCTAAAAACGCAAATTGTGGAGTGTTCAGCAGTAGCAAATTGGATTTTCTCGAAAGAAATTGGTTCAGAATTCACAAAGAATTATTTATGGGAAATTTTACATTTGACTATCAAAAAGGTAATAAAACAACTAAATAAAATACAGTAATGTTTTCTAAAGTCAGAATATACATTTACAGATGAATAGACATGTAACAAAGTTGACTGGTGAACTGACAGAGGCGAGGGAAAAATTGGCAAGAGCAGAGGAATCAAGCGATAGCGAGAGCGATGAAGAGAAAAAGAAACAGGAAGATGCAGAAAAACCCTCCGAAGAAATGGTAAGATAACAAGTAGAGGGTAGTCTTCCTCTTCATACTAATTGAACGGAAAATATTTGATGTGATAGGTGGAGCGAATGGAAGAAAAATTAGAGGCAGCACAAGCGGATCAAAAGAATCTATTTTTAATCATCTTCCAAAGATTTATCATGATCCTCTCCGAACATCTGGTCCGCTGCGATACTGACGGAAAAGATTATAATACCCATTGGTATAAATGGACCATTGGAAGATTGCAACAAGTCTTTTTGGCGGTAAGATCCCCTTTTTAGCTTTCTCTTCATGGACACTTTTCTACTAAATGTTATCAATTTACAGCATCACGAACAAGTGCAAAAGTACAGTTCTACTTTAGAAACTCTACTATTCACTCAAGATTTGGACCCTCACATTCTGGAGATTTTCCAACAGTTTGTCTCACTACAAGGTTAAACCATTTCTGGGGTATGGTAATACATTAAATTTTAATGGAATTTATATAGAGTTACGAAAATATAGTTCTACTGTAATAAAATTATTTGTTGACGGTGTAAACGTAATACGGTAAACACTTCAGCTTTAGAGAATTTAAAAAATATAAAAAAAATAGTTTATTTTGGTTTTAAAACTATACATTTTATCTGCCTGCTTAATTGATAAGTATGTGATTTTAGAGTTCTGCAACCAAAATTTGTCATGTTACACACGTCGCCGTCTTTTTTACAAGAAATATATTTTTAATTACTATTGGATTAGTTTAAGAAACTGGTATGTCCAAATACCGGTCTTACAATTATGTTTTACGGTAAACATGTAATAACTATTAATAGAGTTGTTTGTAATAAGAATTCCACGTGTTTACTGTATTTACAATCAATTTGAGTGTGACTTTAATTTGGAAGTCCCACTGCTATTTTTAAAACTCCTTACCTTTCCAATCCATTTGTAATTAATTTGAAATGTTTCCTGAATTATTTGCGCATTTCTAGCAATTTTAGGTTAAAAAATCTATACATATTGCTAATCTACATGTTACAAATGTTAGTTTTGAAATATAAAATTGAGACAATAAATTTGCCTAATTGAATATTATAGAAAATATTCAGAATATATAAAACATGTACATATACTAACTAATTAAAAAATAAACGAAATACGTATAAGAGATTAACATTAATTCCATATATGGATCTCATTTATGAAATGAGAATGGTAATTCACAATTACAATTAACGAAATACTTGTAAAAAAAGTATTTAATTGTTTCGTCACTCTGCTGCTTTATGGTTAGTTTTAATTTGAATTATTAAAAAGTAAATACGCTTATTACGTGCTATTTTGTAAACTAATATTTCATTATCAATCAAATTTGTTCTAGCTATTAAATTATTTCTGCACAAAACAATACATCCATAGACAGGTATGTACCTGTCTATGTATGATGTTGAGTAGGGTAATTTACCCTACTCAACAAACTCATCATCGCTATCAAAATTCGGGATTTCGGAAGTTTTCTTACAATAATTTTCCTTTTTCTCTGTTTTATGCTTGGCATCATCATCTATTCTTCTGATTTCGACTTTCAAGTTTCTGTTGAATTTTTCCTGTTTAATTTCATCAGTTGTCAAACTAATATCATTTTTTAAATGTTTATTTTCGAACATAGTCTCAACTTTCCGCTTTCTTTTGGCACTATTTGGTTTTTCATTTGACATTTCCGATTGCTTTCGTTCTCGAAACAGTTTGTGTTTGGCTTCAAACAGTTTTTTAAAGGCTTTTACTTGATTCTTATAAATATTCCATTCTATCACTGATATAGGCAGTTGGTTCTTCGTCGGATCAAAATTTTTATTATACTCCGGAATTTCGAAATTTAGATGTTTCATTACTTTTTCTATCACATTGTCCACATAGGTGTTGATGATGAGGTCGGCTTTCTTATCCTATAAAAAGTAACGAAAAACACTTTTCACTCGACGTTTCATCCGGTGCTGAATCATTACATAAATATATCAAACATCTAAATGACTTAAATTTGGGACAGTCCGAAACGTATCTTACTTTCTGTTCACAGTCAACTGACTCCAATCTTGAAAATTAACTAGTTTGCAAATATACTATAATTTTTTAAAAGCAAATTTTGACTGATTTTAAGGCGTGGGATAGATTTAATTATCTAACACAATTAAACCACTTTTCCATATAAAGTAGCAAAAACAAATTATTTTTATTGTCTGTAGATACTTACATGTTTGGTAGGTTGCAAGTTCACTATCACTACTTTGCCCCCATATTTCTTGCATCGTAAGGGTAAATTTCCACTAGGAACTATTTGTAAAGTTGTACCAAGGCATATATTTAGATCAGCTAGGCTGCAATATGTTTTGCTTCAGTTGGAGGTCGATTTTAAATAAAATTTAATCAATACCTCGAATGGTAGTCAGACATTTCCAAATCTTTTTCTGGTAAGTCAGCTTCCCAATCCAGAATAGTGTCTTTCAATTTTCCTCGGCAGCTGCGACCTCTTATTTCTCGTTTACAAAATTCCTCTAAATATTTTTGCCCTACAGTGCTTGTAGCCGTAGTTCTGACGAATTGACTGAAATGGATAAAAACAGTAATTAATTTGAAGCTTTTGCATATGCACGTTAAGAAGTTACCTGTCACATGTATCACATTGTCCAATAAACATATTACCATGTAGTTCTGCTAAATGTGTTCGAGGCAGCCCAGTTCGCAAATGTAGTCCATCAATATTCTGACTTATTACATAGTGAATGTATTCTTTTTCAATTAAATATTTCAGAGCCATATGGGTTTTTGTTGGGACTGCGTCGTTGAACGAAATATTTATATTGGGTTTCTTGCCCTCTTTTTCCAATGTCCATACCCCATTAGGTCCTCTAGCCAATGAAATACCAGATAGACCCTTTGGAATGATAATTAAAAATAGCTTTACCTGAAATCAGGTATTCCAGCTGCAGTGCTAATGCCAGCTCCAGTATGCACCACGACATGTTTGGCTTCTTCAATCCACTTTGTTAGTTGAAGACACTTTCGATTAATCTCATCATCATCATCAAATTTCTGTAAAATCAGCTGGATTTAGTTTGTTTCATGATGAGACAAAACATGAGAAAACAAGATTAAAATACATCTGGGGTTATAGTATTGGCATATTGTAACGGACAGGTTTCCTGAAGTAAGAAAAAAATGTCCTTGCTTTTCCAGAACTTCATCATACATTTTCAAGCCATGATATATGACAGTCGTTTTAATAGCTAATATACAAGCTAATAGATAGATAGATAAAAAATTATTAAACATTCACATGTGTATAAGCACACAGTTACAACATATACATCGGCGCGCTAACTCGTCCTTTACCTGGGCAGTACCCTAACATGGACATTCTCGAGCTAGCCATACACACGACAACCTCCGGAGGTAATCTTGAAGTGGGCTTGAAGTCAACCTTTTAAAATTAATTTATCATGATAATGATGATAAACCATTATTCTTGATAATGTCAGCATTGGCGTAAACCACCGGCAGTCTCAACCAGTATATGGCCTAGACCAATCAGAGCAACGGAGCGCGAATCCGACTGGTCACGTGGTGCCGGATTGGCCTGCTTTTACAGGAAGTGTTGGTTTGTCGTCACGTTTTCTTAGTCATGGGAAATCCCTTATACAGGGGACCGTGGTTAGGGCGATCATTTCATCTACCTTGTGTGAGGTTTCGCGTGAAGACAGAACCTTCCACTCTATGATAGAATGAATGAACCTGTTTTGGGTTCTTTGAACACCCGTCTCGTGGAGTCACTGTCAGAGTGCCAGATAGGGAGTTATAAGTCAGTATAGGTCTTATAGTGAGTGCAAATATGCAGTGTTAGAAGCTTCAAAATTATATAGCGTTTTTCTTTGCCTAGAACATGCATACATTCGCTTCGTGAAAATATATTGAAAACAAACATATTTTGTAAACGAAAGAAAATTAAAGTCTGCAAATGCTCTTAAACGTCTCAAATCGTGCAAATATGGAGTGTTGTGGTGTAGGGCAGAAATTTGGTTTGAGATTAATCATTAATAATTCAGATTAATCATAAATATTCGATTAAATCAACTCGAAATCATTGTTCATTTTAGTGCCACTTAATAATCGTGCTTTTGATGAGAATCCTATATTCCTATTATTGTTCTTAAGAATCAGTGCTTTAGGTGACGTATCAATTAAGCTGAAATGCTGAACATCTGAATGTAAATTTAAATCTCCCGCGGAACACAGTCGGGTTATTATCCATCCATAAAAGTAGACTCCTTTTACAAGACGTGGCAATTTGAGACTAGTTCTATTCCCGACCACAAGGTGCGAGAAACAGCATTCTCATTACGCACGTCCCAATCTATAACCTCTGTGATTTGTGTTTACAGGTTAGATGCAAATAAAGCTTCTACCCAGAAAATCTGAATTAAAAAAATAATTGGTTGAAAAATGAGTAGACGAAGGCCCCATGAAGAGGACGATGGTTATGGTAATTTCATTGTTAATATTGTATTCTTTATTTTAACCAGGCCATTTGACCTATAAAATATTGCGACTGTGCATATGTCCTATGCATTAACTATCCAAAATGAAAGACATTTTTGGTTGCATCTATTCAATGTTTATGTAATTAACAGCTTAGGCTATGAAGAATAGCAGAAGAGGATCAATATTTCTTGCAATTACTGCATTTATTTAGAACGTACTGTTCGGTATGTTAAAAAGATGCAACTCAAATATCCTACTTTCCCATCAAATAGATCACTTTCCTTGAAGATACCAAAGAACCTCTTGCCTTACATGTTTATTTACATTTTTTTATAGTAAATTAATAATTAGTTACAGGAGAAATTCGGAGCTTTATGAAATTCTAATTTTACATTCATTTACCCTTAATTATCGAGTTGATCCGGCCCTCCCGTTCGCGGTTAACATGTGCTCATCTTATAATCTCTTTACACACAACGTTTCTTAGAGGTGTGCAAAAATTCAGTTTTAGACTTCCACTCATTGAAATTCATTACTATTCCATAAAATAACAAAAGATGCCATCACGTCCACACTGTCTCTCCCACCGATATCAGACCCTGTTTTAAGAATTTTGCCAAAGCAGCTCGTGTTAAGCAGGAGTGTTCCATGCACTTTGGTTAGATGGATGATTGTGTGGTTTTTTTAATTTTCGTTTAGTATGAGGCAAAATCTTCATATTTCAACAAAAAATCAATAAATATTTTTTGACGATCGGGAATAATTTTGATTTCTCTTCAGGTTGTTTTGGTTCAGTAGAAGCAAGAGTTAGTAGAATTTTTAGTTGAATTGAACAGTATAAAAGGCTTTTAACTGAGAATGTTTTCAAGAAAGGGAAAATCTACTCAATTTGTTACTGAAAAATATAGCGGCTATGTATGTTTTTCTATTTAAATAATTTATACAAAATATATCACAAACAAACATTTCTTAGGTGGTTAAGTTATAAACTATCTTAATAATGACGGTGATCTCATTTAAATAAATATACTGATAAAATTTCTATAATTTTTGTTCAAAAGGATTCGTATTGAAAATCGATATTATGAACATGAAACGTAATCTGTAGACATATATTGATTCGAATTGAAACTCATTTATTAGAGTTTGTTGTAGATCGTGCCTATAGGAAACGGCGTAGAGTTTCCGAAAATCAAGAAATTGAAGATCGTTTGGAGTCTCTAATTTTGTGTGTTGGAGAAAAGAGTACATCGTCATTAGAGTCCAATTTGGAGGGATTAGCTAGTGTTCTTGAAGCGGATTTAAGTACCTACAGGTAGGAATTCTATACAGCATTTTAAGTTAGGATACTTATTAAATTTTAATCCGTTATCGATACTGGGAATCGAATTTATTTATATATGATTCAATTGAAAAAGCCAAATATCCTCATGTACAGATTCAAAATATTAATTTGTTGTTTCAGAGCGAAAATTCTGCGAATTTTAACCGACTGTGCAATTCGAATGCCAGAAAAATGTACTATTTATACTACGTTGGTTGGGCTCCTTAACGCAAAAAATTTCAATTTTGGAGGAGAGTTTGTCGAATTCATGGTAAAAACGTTTAAAGAAGCTCTTAAAGGTAATTAATCAATAACACGTTGAATTGTGTATTAATTTTTATGTTATATTTCGACAGCGTGTAAATGGGACCCCGCTCGTTTTTTGCTCAGATTTTTAGCTGATCTGGTAAATTGTCATGTTATCAGTGCCACATCTTTGCTGCAATTGTTGGATAATATGATTGACGCCGCTAATGAAGACAGTGTTCCTCAGGTTAGAACTTTAACATAATAACTATGTATATTTAATTAGTTTTCGCGTCTATTTTGATTTATTTTCTTTGCAAATTAAGCTGTTTAGCTGAAAGCAATAAAACAGTTTTATGCAATGGTAGCTTTCGCTTTAAGGTCCGCAGAGATTGGTATGTTTTCGCGATTCTATCCACTCTCCCATGGGTTGGTAGAGAATTGTATGAGAAGAAAGAACAACCCCTTGAACATTTACTGGTACAAATCGAAGTATTTCTGAACAAAAGACCAAAAAAGCACCATAATGCTTTAAAAGTTTGGGCTGTTGATACCCCACACCCACAAGAAGAATATTTAGATTGCCTCTGGGCGCAAATTAGAAAGTTGAGGTATGGACAAAAAACTTTATTTTTAGAGTTTTTTTAATGCAATAAGTCTTTTCAGACAAGATAATTGGGCAGAAAAACATATTGCGCGCCCATACTTGGCATTTGATTCAATTTTATGTGAGGCCTTACAACACAACTTGCCCAGCATTTTGCCGCCACCTCATCATGATTCTTACAAATATCCGATGCCATGGGTGGTTTTCCGGCTTTTTGATTACACTGACTGCCCTGAAGGCCCAATCTTACCAGGGGCCCATTCTATTGAGAGATTTTTAATTGAAGAGCATCTGCATTCGATCATTGGTGATTTTATATTCATCATTAATGGTTTCGTTAATTGAAATATTTTATTTTACAGAAATGTATCATCTCGAACGCAAAGACTGTGCTACCCATTTATTAAACTTTCCATATAAACTTAAAATCCCATTGGAATATTGCATAGTTGAGGTCATATTTGCGGAGCTGTTTCATATGCCGTCTCCACGATATCTCGATATATGTTATGGATCAATTCTGATAGAACTATGCAAGCTTCAACCCAGCACTATGCCCCAAGTTTTAGCTCTCGCCACTGAAATGCTTTTCCACAGAATCGACTCGATGAATGTTTCCTGCTTTGACAGGTATTTATTAATTTATATAATTGACAAACGTTGGCTTATTTTTAAACATGGGTTTTTCTATTTTGATTACTTTATGTATACATTATTTTCAGGTTTGTCTGTTGGTTTTCTTACCATCTAAGCAACTTTCAGTTTAGATGGAGGTGGGATGATTGGGACGTGTGTTTGAGTTTGGATTCGGAACATCCGAAACCTAAATTTGTTAGAGAAGTGATGCTTAAAAGTATGAGGTGAGCTAACACGCAATCGCTGTCTTGGTTATTGAACTATTTAACCAATTATTTTCTTCAAGGTTGTCTTATCATCAGAGAATCAGAGAAATTCTCCCAGAAACCTTTGCGGGCTTTATACCGCAGAAGCCAGAACCCGAATATAAATATGCCAAGGAAGCAGAAGCTGGTAAGTAGTAACTAATGAATATGTGCTGTTTGACGGGCTGATTTTCAGATAGCAAATCAGTGTAATTTAATCGATTTATCTGCTATTTAAATTTAATTCTAACAAAATATTTACGAGTTCATATTAAACTATACAGGTAGTGAATGCAAAAATGTAATTCACCGCAAATCAGTGAACGCTTTCATAATATTTGAGGTATCATTGCTTACACTTGGCAGACTAATGTTTATCAGAAACAAAAATGTTTAAGTATTCTGAAAGTATGTGCCTACTTTTATTTTAAAATGTGCTTCATCTATATAATCTTATAATTTTATTTTTGGCATGGTTAAGGGACTCCTTTAGCTAAGGGTCTTTAACATTATCTAATGATTTTTAATGCTTGAGAGACAACATAGTTATTTTATACAGTCTTACATTATCTTAAAACAGAATTATTACAAAATTAGCAAAATAAATAGTATTTCTTTACATACTAATAATAAAATTAAATTCATATTTTATTATAAATACATTTTGTTTTTACCATATCCCGGAAACAATTTTATGGCATTGTCAATCATCCAGTTAAAATTATTTTTTAGCTTGAGCTGAATGATTTCCATTTTTTCCTGCTGGCTTCCTATTGATTTTCTTTGTTCTAGCCACATAAGTCCTTCGTCTTGTATATTTCGACTTTCTAGTTGTTTTTGCGCTGGCATTTGTGGTGGTGGTTGCTGCCGTGGTCGTTTCCACATTGTCCAAATATTCCACACCTTTAGCTTGACTTACCAATCTATGAGCAAAATCGCCAATGTCGTTATCGTTTGAAGGTGAAATTTTCGCCAAGTTATTTTTCGTAGGCTTTCTTTTTCTGTTTATTTCATAGGAAATGGAAGTTAAGTAACTTTGGCTGGTAACCGGAATTGTTTTGTCTGTCTCCTCTTTTCTTGTTCGACCAACCTCGGTAGCTGGTTTAAATCTTTTAGAAATGTTGATAGTTTTTAGAGTCGGCTGAGGTACTAACTTCGACAATGATGTTTCCGCAGTTGGTGTAACACCATTACTGGACAAAGTAGTAACAGGCGTTGTCATTGGTGCTGTAATTTTCTCGAAGAGGTTCGAATAAATTACTTTGGAAGGGGTCACTTCTGTTGTAGGCCTGCTTCTAAGATGCTTCGATTTGCGATTATTTCTATCAAACAATTCCTGTTCAAAGTCAGACTTTGTATGCTGCTTCACTAAGCGGGGCTTCTTTGTAGTTCTCGTGTTAGTTCCTCTGTCAGGCCCAAATATGTCATCTTCACTATAATCCTTCTGCGGTTTTTTATACAGCGGACCGTTCACTTCCAGTGAAGCATTATCAAGCAAAAAGTCGCTGGCCTCTGTTGTACTCGCCTTAAGAGACTTGGTCGTTTTGTATCTTGCCGCTGAACTCTTTGTTGGTCCGAACAATTCTTCTTGCGAGTTAAATGGGGTTGTTTTTACAGAAACTGTCCCATCGGCTGATATCGTTGTTAGAATTCTTTTCGGCGTGCTCATTTTCAAAGGAATTATAGTGGGTTTGGTATTTTCGCTAGAGCTAGAGTCAAATTCTGCATATCGTGTAGGTGTAGTTGGGGCTGGACTGGAAGGCTGTGTCTCTTCAGCTGTATAGTAAACCATACCAGTTGTTTTGGTCATAAGAGTGGTAACTCCCAAAGTTGTCTCCATCGGGCCTTGATTTGTCGAATTGGTCAAAATGCTTTCAAAAGATGTGGAATCTCGTGTGGGTTCGTGAGTTTCGAAATCAGCTGGTCCTTTGTAGAGAGTTGTAATGTCGTTTTTAGGTAGCTCCGTTGTAGGGTTGTAAAATTGAGTATTTGTGTACTTAACATTAGTTGGAGTAAAAGTAGGTTCATTAACAGTTGGTGAAGTTAGGTGCGGTGCAGTAAATATCTGCTCATCATCCTCCGTAGGCGAAAAAGTTTCTTTCGAATCAAGCGCTGGTGAAGTGTTATCCAGAACGGTTATTGGTATAGTAAACCCAGTGGATGGTTTATGGGTTGTCTGATACGAATTCACCGACGGTTCAAATATATTCGAGTGAATTATCGTGGTACTAGTCTGGGTACTGTGGTAAGGACTTGTATTGGAATTGTAGGTAGTTTCCACCACAGGTCTAGTTACTTTGGTAACAGTCCCCGTTAGCGGATGACTAACCTTGTTAAAAGGAGGCCTGATGGTGTCTTGATATTTGGTAGTTTGAGTATTTTCCTCTTTGGGCTCATTAATTGCAGACGTTGGTTTTTTACTGGGTTGCGTAGGTGCAGCACTTTCAAACCAAATATTTTCCGTAGTAGACTCCTGTTGATGAAAGGACGACAACACAGGCTTCTTATTGGAAACGGTCTTTGTGGGTTCTTCTTTCTCCTCAGCAGCAAAAAAGTGAAATGTTGTTTTAACCGGGGACTTAGTTGTGCCTAGACTTTGAGTAGTCTCCGGATATTGTGGCCTTTGTATACTATCGACCGTGTAAAATGGTCTTGTTGCGGAATTTGTTGTTGTTTGAGTTGGGTAATAGGGAACGGTCTGCTGAACAGTGGTGAAAAAGTTATGCGGAGTTGTTTTCTTACTAGTGCCCACAGTCTCATAAGTCTGAGGTTGAAATTGGGGAAGTGTTGGCAGAAAACTGTCGGTTGTTAATGGGCTGGATGGTCGGAATGGTGCTTGACTGGAGGTAGTAGTTGGTATTGGCTGCTTAGAAAATGGAGTTTCCGGAAATCGAATTGTGGAGGTTGTTTTTGTGGTGAATGGAGGTTTCACTTCTGTGATCGGTACCACTTGACCATCAGGAAACTGAACTAAAGTCGTCGCTGGACGTGTTGATGGTGTAAACCTGAAATCGTTTTTTTTTTTTTAATAACCAGACCCTACGCTTTTCTAATAGAATAAATTGTATTTGAAACAGTAAGAGTAACGTTTTAAAATGTTATTTGATGTCAAGTGGAATAGTGTGAATGGGTATTTTAGTAAAACTAATAATTTTTATTCTGGAAATGTGCGGATTTTTTAAACTTTTTTAAACTTTGTTCCAAATTCTACAGTTTTTATTGAAAATTAACATGCAATAACCAGCCGATTTATTTAGAAAGCGTTTCAAGTTTTGCACTCATCGGAATGGAAGAATCAACAACAAATATAAAAAGCGAATTACATAAACGCATTTAAAAAATTGACATTTATACTTTTAAGTCCATACTTTTAAAGTTGGGAATTAAGTGGCGCAGTTCAGACTGATATTTGATGCAAATACTTTACCTGTTGGGTTCAAGCGAAGTCTTTTTATTTAGAGCTTCCAACAATTTTTGATATAATTTTTTGGCATCCTCCTCAGAATACTGAGTGGTAGTTGTTGAGCTAGTGGAAAGCGAATCTTTTGTGGATGGATATCTGAAAAAAGGTGTAAATTCGTGTTATTTACGGGTACTTGCTTCATACAGTTGATAACAAATTATTACTGCTAGTTTTTGAAAACGTTTGAAGAATATACCGTTCAAGTTATAAGTTAGTTCTCATTACCCAAGAGGTTCTGTGGCTAATTTTCCAGGAAACTGATGCAAAAGAAATTTCCTTCCATCTGGACTTTGCGCAATGAATGCGCCCTCCTTGAAATGTTGCTGATTGTCCAGGTTTGGGTACAAATCTGCCTTCTTTAACAGAAACACATGACCTGGTAAACCATAGTTATATGCGCCTGAAATTGTATAAAATCATACAAGAAAAGGTCAATGTTTAGTTGATATAAGTTACCATCTTTTGTCAAGTACAACTGATGGGGATATCTCAAACCAACAGGTGAGATAGTAAATTCCAATTCCATTCTATCATGTCCATCTTTTGCGGCTCTATGTCTAATGCGCTTTATTGACCAAATGGCTATTAGCTGCTCGTTGCTTCGAGGGTGCCAAATCTTTAAATCAAAATTCATAACTAAATTTTGTATCATTAATCATCGCGATTTTTTACCTGGCAACGAGCTTTTATGCATCGAGTTCTGATGGGTTCTACTTCGATAGTGTCGCAATCATCGCAGTCATTTTGATAGGGATCCTGTACAAATATATAACTTGCATAGTTGGCATAAAGCTGCCCTCTTGCCAATATCGCTATGTCGCCAAACGGTGTGGCTTTATCTTGCTTACCTATAGAGCAAAGTTATTTTTTCTCCTTTAGAAACTGAAAGAAATTAAGTGCAATGTATTGTTCGCTACCTAATAAGGGGGCACTGTAAATTTGCTGTCTTAAGTTATGATCCCCAATATGTTCCCTGAATAGTGCTTGCACTGTGGCCTCTCTTAAACCATGTTCCCAATCGAAAATGCTGCTCACTGAAGCAGGAATGTCCAAGTTTCTGCCTGGATACGTTTTTTGGTCGATATATCTAATTGGTCTTTGAATATGGGTCTGGATTGAAAATGTACCGGAAATCTACAATTTGATTAAAATTCACTTTAAGTTCCAACATTTAATTTTCAGATATTCAGGTTTAAATCCACCTACAAATTAACGAAAAATAACCCATTAAGTAACAGTTTTGAGCATTATTTGTCACCGCGAGGCGATAATATTAATGTATTTGATCAAAACCTAAAACTATTTATTTGTATGTGTGCAGGGTGTTTCCTCATAAGTTGCCACCCTCCCTAGATCGCATATTAAAAAAAAATAGGAAAAGTGACAAACACAAAAGTTGTTTAATTTGACTCTCTTCTTGAGTAAAATTAAATATCTTTTGTGTTGGTCACTTTCACATTGTTTTTTTTAAATCAACGGTCTTGGGGGTGTCAACTAATGAGGAAACACCCTGTATATACTTCACTCCTCATGTATCACTCCCATGTATGTTTTTAAAACACGTTTGCAAGCAGTTTTTTGCTTTTTTTCTAGAAATTTAAAAATATTCTTCAGATTGTAGTGTAACACAGTAAAATAAATTGAAAAAGTGCATAATCCGATGAAATAACTATTTTCATCTATCATATACAATTTCCTTTGTACTAAATTTTAGCAAATAATTAACTTGCTTAAAGGTGAGAGTGGCACCCAAAATTATCTTAATTTAAATACTGTTCAAAATATTTTCAACAATTTACAGTGTTGGTCGAAAGAAACTACACCACTTTCCAATTATCATCCAAATTCCGGTTGACTTTTTTTAAATTTCAAACCCCGATATTTGCAACTTTCTCAACAAAGTAATTTTCTACTATACAGCTAAGGTCTTTGGAGTACAAAACATCGCCCATTTATTCGCTTAATATAATTATTATTTCCATAAAAAAAAGTCAAGAGCAGGTCGAACTCAGTAATATGTTGATAATATTTTTTAGAATCTGAAAACATGAGTTTTTTTTAAATTTTAACTACTGTTCCTTGCTATTCACATAAAATGCATGTGATTATTTTTTTAGAGTAGCTTCTTGGCATACAAAACAAACTGAACTCTGTACACTTGCCAATAAATCACCCTACACATCTAGCCGAATGCCTAATAAACAGTACATTACTGCAATTAAGGACTTAAACGATGTTATCTACGGCATAATCACTGTAGAATCTGAACAGTAATTAACCTTTCTTCTTTCTTAGGCAATACATGGATAAATAAAGCAAACACAAAAAGTATTTACAAGCTATTTTTCTGTTTATGGAAATTAACTTCCAAAGAGAGTTACAGTACATAAAGGTAAACAAATTTACAAACTTGCAAAAGCGGGGTACAAACATAGAGTTAAAAAATATCAAAATACTATATATAATTGATAATAAAATTGTCCGACTTACTAAAGCTATGATTATAATCCATAAACACTTCATGGTAGCTGTCTGGTTTTAACATGTAACAAATTTATCTTCTTACTTTTACATCATCATCCGACATTTCGCACGATCTTCGCGGTAAACACTGGTGAAATTTGCCTTATTTCCATTTTGATGCGTCTTATCCCACCCCAAACTATGATAAACAATAGATGGTTAATTTACCATACGGGTCTATGATTTCAGTGTCTGTTAATAAAAAGTCAAATAAAATAAATATTTATTTAGATCAAAATGTCGAGGAAACTGATGAAAAGAACAAATAAAATTGTTCAATTTAGTTAGTAATTAATGATTGTTTGAAATATTTCAATTTGATAAAATAGGCACCAATTCCATCTATTTAAGTTAATGTAATTTAATTCTATTTATTCAGATTAATCATTAATAATTCAGATTAATCATAAATATTCGATTAAATCAACTCGAAATCATTGTTCATTTTAGTGCCACTTAATAATCGTGCTTTTGATGAGAATCCTATATTCCTATTATTGTTCTTAAGAAACTGTAAGTTTTTAAATTCTTCTTCATGGCTAACTAAACAAAGGCAAGCACTGATTTGATTATGGGCGTTAAATGAGAATTGCATTCACTGTTCTTCAGGCCATGTAAGAAAAAAAATTGTAAAACTACATTTACAAGGACTCTAAATACATTTAATGTTATTTTTCATTTTTGTGGCTCGTAGTGAGTTAATAGACTTTCTTTTCGAGAAACTTTCTTTCGTTTTAAATTAAATTGCAACTCAGTTATACACAGCACTTATAATAATATACAAGTAGTTAAATTTTCCCCATTCTAAAAGCTATCAAACTACTTTAATCATTGTATTTAAAGCAATTGCATTGTTATCATAGTGCGTTGAAACCGATCGTTCGTGCTTTCGAAATTCAATACCGTGAAAATCGTATGTTAAGAAAGTGACGACATCGAACAATATAACATTTTTTTCTCAATAACAGTTTCTATAATTGACTGCTTGGGAATGAGGAATTACTGTTTTTTGATTGCAAAAATAAGAAACCAGTAGTATTTACTGCATTGACATGCTTTTAAAGATAATTGCTTAGCAAAAATGCATAGACGGCAGTTTTCTGCGTTAAAACCGATGTACTTCCGCTACCTATCCATTTAGCCATTAATCAATTTAGGAGCCATAATAACTCACGTAAGGTAACATCCTATTGCTTCATTCTTCGCATGCCATTTTCTTACCAAACCTCCACAACCGCCCATCAGACAAACGGCGTAATCTGCATGTAAAATCTGCTATTCTTGAGAAACTGGCTTTGTTGCTTCCTTTTTATCTTTGTGATAATATGATGTTTGGACCGCGCTATTCCATTGTTAATTTGAATTACTAGGGATTGATACAAAATTGCAAACCTACAACGGAGATTGCTTATGTATGACTGCTACTCCCTTATCAAATTAACAATAAAATTGTTTTTGCGTTAAATAACTAGAATTAATTTTCAAATTTAAATTTAATAAAATAATAAACGAGCAGTTAAATAATTCACGTTAAAAACGTTTCAATCGAAGTGGCAAATTAATATTAATTGTAAAAATCAGGCAATTTCCGTTCAAAAAAAGCATAAATATCAAATCAAGCACCGCAAGTAATTAGGAAGTCATATACATCTTTTGACATTGACTTAATTTTCGTGTTTTAATGTTATTCATATAGTTGTGCAAATGTAAGGCAATCTCCTGTGCGCTCAAGAACTCGGCAGGTGTCTTTTGCATTGTTTCTATTAATATAACTGTTAAGCGACTTTACTGTTGCACAATTATAAATTGATGCTTAAGTTAGCAGAACTGAATTTTTATTTGCCCAATTTTTGGGCGTTTAGCGTTTCCACAAGGCTGACTGGTGCACTCTGCAAGAACAATTAAGACTTGACCAAATGGTGTAAAAATGCTGGCAGTTACGCGTTGAACTCTAAAATATTAATGCTAAATACTTAACTGAAAATTGATTTATTTCAATGAGCATCAATGGCTTAGAATAAATGGGGCTCACTTTCTCTAGTTTATGATGTTTGCATTACCTAACAGTATAAGATCATTCACCAACTGAATTGGTATCTTGCTTCACCGTAAGCCTACTTATTGTTGATTGGGCCAGTTATGTCATGTTTATATTCCACCACTTATTTGCTTAATTGTAATTTTCTCAGGCAATTTAAAAAATACCTATTGTTGCATGGTAAATTTTGTTTTGTACTTTGATATTTATATAACATTCCATCTCATAGTTCCGGAAACTAAATACATATTCGCTAGAAGGTTCGGATAAAAACGTAAAATTACTTGAACATTTTCAACTAACCCATTCATCATGTTTTTTTAAAGTGACTCTACCTGGAACAGCTGCAGCTCATCAGTTGGTTGTAACAATTCGGCAGAAGTGTACCCCCGAAGAGGTTCTTGCAGTTCTCAAAGATCTTCCAAACCCTCGATCCGAAGAGGAAGTTGACGGTAGATTTAATCCGTTGAAAATTGATGTTTTTGTGCAAACATTATTGAATTTGGGGTCTAAAAGTTTTTCTCATAGCTTTGCGGCTATTTCGAAATTTCACTATGTCTTCAAGGTATGTTTGCCAAACCAAAATTCGCTGAAGAAATAATAATTTTTGCGTAGATTTTAGCAGAATCCGAAGAAGCTCAAATATGCATTCTGAGAAATATGTTCGAGTTGTGGCACAACCACCAACAAATGATGGTGGTATTGGTTGACAAAATGCTAAAAACGCAAATTGTGGAGTGTTCAGCAGTAGCAAATTGGATTTTCTCGAAAGAAATTGGTTCAGAATTCACAAAGAATTATTTATGGGAAATTTTACATTTGACTATCAAAAAGGTAATAAAACAACTAAATAAAATACAGTAATGTTTTCTAAAGTCAGAATATACATTTACAGATGAATAGACATGTAACAAAGTTGACTGGTGAACTGACAGAGGCGAGGGAAAAATTGGCAAGAGCAGAGGAATCAAGCGATAGCGAGAGCGATGAAGAGAAAAAGAAACAGGAAGATGCAGAAAAACCCTCCGAAGAAATGGTAAGATAACAAGTAGAGGGTAGTCTTCCTCTTCATACTAATTGAACGGAAAATATTTGATGTGATAGGTGGAGCGAATGGAAGAAAAATTAGAGGCAGCACAAGCGGATCAAAAGAATCTATTTTTAATCATCTTCCAAAGATTTATCATGATCCTCTCCGAACATCTGGTCCGCTGCGATACTGACGGAAAAGATTATAATACCCATTGGTATAAATGGACCATTGGAAGATTGCAACAAGTCTTTTTGGCGGTAAGATCCCCTTTTTAGCTTTCTCTTCATGGACACTTTTCTACTAAATGTTATCAATTTACAGCATCACGAACAAGTGCAAAAGTACAGTTCTACTTTAGAAACTCTACTATTCACTCAAGATTTGGACCCTCACATTCTGGAGATTTTCCAACAGTTTGTCTCACTACAAGGTTAAACCATTTCTGGGGTATGGTAATACATTAAATTTTAATGGAATTTATATAGAGTTACGAAAATATAGTTCTACTGTAATAAAATTATTTGTTGACGGTGTAAACGTAATACGGTAAACACTTCAGCTTTAGAGAATTTAAAAAATATAAAAAAAATAGTTTATTTTGGTTTTAAAACTATACATTTTATCTGCCTGCTTAATTGATAAGTATGTGATTTTAGAGTTCTGCAACCAAAATTTGTCATGTTACACACGTCGCCGTCTTTTTTACAAGAAATATATTTTTAATTACTATTGGATTAGTTTAAGAAACTGGTATGTCCAAATACCGGTCTTACAATTATGTTTTACGGTAAACATGTAATAACTATTAATAGAGTTGTTTGTAATAAGAATTCCACGTGTTTACTGTATTTACAATCAATTTGAGTGTGACTTTAATTTGGAAGTCCCACTGCTATTTTTAAAACTCCTTACCTTTCCAATCCATTTGTAATTAATTTGAAATGTTTCCTGAATTATTTGCGCATTTCTAGCAATTTTAGGTTAAAAAATCTATACATATTGCTAATCTACATGTTACAAATGTTAGTTTTGAAATATAAAATTGAGACAATAAATTTGCCTAATTGAATATTATAGAAAATATTCAGAATATATAAAACATGTACATATACTAACTAATTAAAAAATAAACGAAATACGTATAAGAGATTAACATTAATTCCATATATGGATCTCATTTATGAAATGAGAATGGTAATTCACAATTACAATTAACGAAATACTTGTAAAAAAAGTATTTAATTGTTTCGTCACTCTGCTGCTTTATGGTTAGTTTTAATTTGAATTATTAAAAAGTAAATACGCTTATTACGTGCTATTTTGTAAACTAATATTTCATTATCAATCAAATTTGTTCTAGCTATTAAATTATTTCTGCACAAAACAATACATCCATAGACAGGTATGTACCTGTCTATGTATGATGTTGAGTAGGGTAATTTACCCTACTCAACAAACTCATCATCGCTATCAAAATTCGGGATTTCGGAAGTTTTCTTACAATAATTTTCCTTTTTCTCTGTTTTATGCTTGGCATCATCATCTATTCTTCTGATTTCGACTTTCAAGTTTCTGTTGAATTTTTCCTGTTTAATTTCATCAGTTGTCAAACTAATATCATTTTTTAAATGTTTATTTTCGAACATAGTCTCAACTTTCCGCTTTCTTTTGGCACTATTTGGTTTTTCATTTGACATTTCCGATTGCTTTCGTTCTCGAAACAGTTTGTGTTTGGCTTCAAACAGTTTTTTAAAGGCTTTTACTTGATTCTTATAAATATTCCATTCTATCACTGATATAGGCAGTTGGTTCTTCGTCGGATCAAAATTTTTATTATACTCCGGAATTTCGAAATTTAGATGTTTCATTACTTTTTCTATCACATTGTCCACATAGGTGTTGATGATGAGGTCGGCTTTCTTATCCTATAAAAAGTAACGAAAAACACTTTTCACTCGACGTTTCATCCGGTGCTGAATCATTACATAAATATATCAAACATCTAAATGACTTAAATTTGGGACAGTCCGAAACGTATCTTACTTTCTGTTCACAGTCAACTGACTCCAATCTTGAAAATTAACTAGTTTGCAAATATACTATAATTTTTTAAAAGCAAATTTTGACTGATTTTAAGGCGTGGGATAGATTTAATTATCTAACACAATTAAACCACTTTTCCATATAAAGTAGCAAAAACAAATTATTTTTATTGTCTGTAGATACTTACATGTTTGGTAGGTTGCAAGTTCACTATCACTACTTTGCCCCCATATTTCTTGCATCGTAAGGGTAAATTTCCACTAGGAACTATTTGTAAAGTTGTACCAAGGCATATATTTAGATCAGCTAGGCTGCAATATGTTTTGCTTCAGTTGGAGGTCGATTTTAAATAAAATTTAATCAATACCTCGAATGGTAGTCAGACATTTCCAAATCTTTTTCTGGTAAGTCAGCTTCCCAATCCAGAATAGTGTCTTTCAATTTTCCTCGGCAGCTGCGACCTCTTATTTCTCGTTTACAAAATTCCTCTAAATATTTTTGCCCTACAGTGCTTGTAGCCGTAGTTCTGACGAATTGACTGAAATGGATAAAAACAGTAATTAATTTGAAGCTTTTGCATATGCACGTTAAGAAGTTACCTGTCACATGTATCACATTGTCCAATAAACATATTACCATGTAGTTCTGCTAAATGTGTTCGAGGCAGCCCAGTTCGCAAATGTAGTCCATCAATATTCTGACTTATTACATAGTGAATGTATTCTTTTTCAATTAAATATTTCAGAGCCATATGGGTTTTTGTTGGGACTGCGTCGTTGAACGAAATATTTATATTGGGTTTCTTGCCCTCTTTTTCCAATGTCCATACCCCATTAGGTCCTCTAGCCAATGAAATACCAGATAGACCCTTTGGAATGATAATTAAAAATAGCTTTACCTGAAATCAGGTATTCCAGCTGCAGTGCTAATGCCAGCTCCAGTATGCACCACGACATGTTTGGCTTCTTCAATCCACTTTGTTAGTTGAAGACACTTTCGATTAATCTCATCATCATCATCAAATTTCTGTAAAATCAGCTGGATTTAGTTTGTTTCATGATGAGAGCAAAACAATATTAAAATACATCTGGGGTTATAGTATTGGCATATTGTAACGGACAGTTTTCCTGAAGTAAGAAAAAAATGTCAAACTTGCTTTTCCGGAACTTTATCATACATTTTCAAGGCATGATATATGGCAGTCGTTTTAATAGCTAATATACAAGCTAATAGATAGATAAAAAAATATTAAACATTCACCGGTCAGAACGGGTTCATTCAGAGTGAATGAACCTGTTTTGGGTCCTTTGAACACGCCGTCTCGTGGAATCACTGTGAGAGTGCCAGATAGGGGAGTCATAAGTCAGTATAGATCTTATAGTGAGTGCAAATATGCAGTGTTAGAAGCTTCAAAATTACCTAACGTTTTTCTTTGCCTAGAACATGCATACATTCGCTTCGTGAAAATATATTGAAAACAAACAGATTTCGTAAACGAAAGAAAATTAAATCTGCAAATGCTCTTAAGCATCTGAAATCGTGCAAATATGGAGTGTTGTGGTGTAGGGCAGAAATTTGGTTTGAAGTGATAGAAATGAATTTGGGGCCAGAAGACACACACACAGTCTTTTGTACAGCGTAGTCAACTTGCTTATTGAAATAAAGTCGGGCGTGTAGTTTGAAGCCCAGGTATTTTACATCTCTTACTCAAGGGCGG